CTAAAATGAACCCAAGATGGACTTGAGATGGAATCCGAGATGGAGTCTGAGATAGAGTCCAAGATGGACTTGAGATGGATTTGAGATGGAGTCTAAGATGGAGTCCAAGATGGATCCGAGATGGAGTCTGAGATAGAGATCGAGACCGAGACCGAGATCAAGACCGAGATTGAGATCGAGTTCGACTCCAAATACTAATACAGGTTGTTAGGTGAAAGCCCAAAGTGATCGTTCCCCAAGGGGGGCTACAGGGGGTTCCAAAAGTATAGTAGGGAGAGAGTGGCAGTGGAGCCAGTTTGGCCAGGAAAGGCTAATGTAACCCAAGAAGGCTATGCTCACATGTTGGGTGATGATATATCCACTAAGAAGCCCAAAGCTAAAGTGAATATAGACAAACAAACGGGGTAACTTGGTGAAATATTCAAGAGCCAACTCTAGCTCCCCTAGGAGATCGAATGGTTAATACTCTTAGTCCAAACGTAAATGGCACTACCTACTTGGATACTTGGGGTGGTTCAATGGAACTTCGCTCTAGGCTCATGGCTAAAGCACCCAAAGGCAGAAGGTGGAGAGAGTACCCATGAGGCTCGCGTAGGGCCACGATGTTCCAAAATGTTATCCCAAAGTCCTAGACTGTGGAAAGGAAAAGGAATAATTTTCTAGTGTAGTGATAAAAAATGCGGTCACATAGTGAGGAAGTCCCAAAGGACAATGGGACTTAGTGGTCGGGTTTGTGGGCCTTGATCTAGTAGTAGTGTTGGCGAACATGGTCATAGATAGAAAGGGACTTGGTGGGAACAGAAAAAGGGATATTGGGGAAAGTTATTCCCCATATCTACAGGCATCTTAAGGATGCTAAAGAATGGATTCGGAATGATCACTCCTGGATGGATAGCCCAATCTTTGAAAGACGGGATTATGATGTAGGTGGTGTTGGATTATCGGTGTGACAAAGGTGAATAAGTATGGCCTTAGTGTAACAGACTGATATGTCAATGGTACTTTTGGGTGTCAATCATAGGATCAGACATATGGAGCACTTATATCAAGTGTAAAGGTTGAGTGGTATAAATGCCATTCTCGGGGCTAATAAGCCCCAAGTCCAGAATAGGATTTATAGAGGTTGTGAGTGAGACTCTTCCAAGTGGTTGGAGGTGTGGTTAAGTGATTAAAGTAGAATGGAAAATTTAATTACTTATAGGTCCCTATGTTACTTTAACTGCCACAACTTTGTATGAAATCTCAAACCATACAAATATGAGTGATGAAGATGCTTGAAGTTATTTCCTAGAATAATTAAGTTCAAATAAGGTTTTAAAGTTTAAACCAAAACATACATAAAATGTAAGGAGGTAATACAGCAAGTTGCCTTTAGTCACTCATTGAACAATATCAACATTCATATATTGGTACCTCATCCAAAAATAAAACTTCTAGGAATAAACAAAATGATCGAAAATAGAGGGTGAAAGGAAGGTTCCACTCTGGAGGCTCATAAGCAATAGTTAACAAAATTGGTGATTAATAACCAATAGTAGCTTCTTCTAGTTGTAGGCCCTTTGTTCCTCCTTTTTATAGGTACAAGTAGCAACAACTTGTGAAACCTACTTTTAGCAAAATAAGTAATGTGGGTCATTGCTTCCATTAGGGAGAGGCAAGACATAGGTCCTCAAAATGTCTAAATAAGCATAAAATAAGATCTTATGTCAATGTTATAAGGGAGGATGGTGGTAGTAAAGTTGATAGAATTGATAAGTTGGTTAATGCAAACTATGAGGAAGAAAAAATGAGTTATTTTCCTTAAGCTTTTTTCATAATCAATACAAGCACTAATCCATTAATGTATTTCAGAGGCTTTATCCATGGACACCAAATTCAAGGGGTGCTATGGGGGTTCAAAATGTGTAGTAAGGATAGTGGTTGAAAACATGGCCAACCACCTGAGACATTAGTTTGGCATCTATTGAGTTGTGTCATTTTTTTTTTGTAACATCTAGTTTGGGTTTAAACATAAGTTCCATACTGCTCTAGTCAATAGGGTACTCATGTCCTTGCACTAAGCCATTGGTACGTCAAAATTGCATTAAACACCATCTAACATTATTTTGCATATAAGAATTGAATATGAGGAGTTAGTGCTTGTAGGGGATAGACCTTCATTTTGTAGTGCAATAGACTTAGAGTTCAGCTTCAAAATTTAGATATGTTATATTGTATAATTAAAATTAGCAATAATACAAAAATTGAAATTATTTAATTAAAACTTTCCTAGTATTCTTCTTATAAGTTATTTAGTTTCATTTTTATGAAGTCTTTTAGAATAATATTTATTATTTTAAATTAATATTTAAAATAAGTTATATAAGGTCCAAGTGTATGGCTATGATACCGTATACTAATATTAGCGTAGTTGGATTTTGATAGTCATTGAATTGGTTTCAATCTAGACCTCTCACTCTTGTGTATAAACTAAGGTTTTTGGGCTTATTGATATGCACATTTCTGTATTCTATTTCCATATTCCATGCACTCATAGTTATAATTTAATATTTTTAAATAAACACATGTAAATCATGTAAATAATATATAACTGAAAATGATTTTAAAATCATTTTAAACACATAATAAAGAATATGATTAATAATTTTATTTTATATTAAAATATTACCAATTTATATTACAGATTAACTATTTTAAACACTCTGATTATGTGATCTATTTCTAAATATAACCTAAAAAAATTAAGTTATAAAAGATTTGACTTGACCTTTTTTAATTTATATAACTTTATTTTTTTAAGTTAAAATATTTTTAAGTAAACTATATGAGAGCCAAATGTAAATATTAGCGTAGTGGGATTTTGGTACTTGTCGGATTGGTTTCAATCTAGACCACTCGCTCCTGTATATAAACTAAGATTTTTGAGCTAATTGATATGCACATTTTCTGTATTCTCTTTCCATATTCCGAGCACTCACATTGGTGGAGATGAAGGACACCTTTAATTGTCCCTGAGGAGTGCTTGGATTTAAGATTTTGGTTTAGATTTAGCTTTTGCATCGTCTAGATTTAGCTTTTGCATCATTTAGATTTATCTTTTTCCATTTTCTTTCTTTTGTTCTTTCTTTTCAGGATTTTGGTTTAGATCTAGCTTTTTGCATTGTCTAGATCTACCATTTCCTTTTAGCTTTTTGTCATTTCTCTTCTTTTGCTCTTTCTTTTTTGTTCATCTTTATGGTAGATCAACAATCTCTTCCTTTGACTCTAGAGTAGCAGTTGATACAATTGCTTGAGGCTATACACTTGCAATTGAACAACCAAACTCAGTTGATGGTGGCGTTCATAGCACGTGGTACAACTCCTCTTGCTCTTGGTGCCAATCCTCGTGTTCAGCCGAAGTTCTTTTGCAAGAATCCTAGAGATGATGTGTACCATTGGTTCGATCACTTCATGGTGATTGCCACATATCATTCTTGGGATGATGCTCGAAGTTTGCATGTGTCTCCAAGGGACAGCATTGCAATGGCACAATGGCTTAAGCACAACCACTCGTGGGGATGGGGATTGGAGTGTTCTCTCGGACGTCTTCAAACGTGCATTCGGACATGCCAATGACTGTGATGATGCTTTCTAACAATTGCATCGTCTTCACCAGGGGCCATCTGAGTCGGTGATACAATTTAGCGTTCATTTCCAAAGTCTTTTACTTCGTGCGAAGCCTAATATGTCGAAGCGGATCAAGCTAGGAATGTTGTGGCTAGCACTTCGTCAAGATCTTGTTGGACTTATGCATGCACTTGCTTTTGCCACCCTTGATGATGCTCTTTGTTTGGCACAACTCTATGAGACGTCACCTCTTCCACTTCTTGCTACCCGTCCTTCAACTCTACTTCCTATGGGTCATGGTCCTGTTCCAATGGAGATTGATGCTGTTGCTACTCAAGTTCAAGGACAAGGGCGAGGCCATGGTCGTGGCTGTGATGTTTGTTGTTGGGTGTGTGATGAAGTTGGTCACACTTATTGGTGTTGTCGGCATTTTCCAGATTAACGGCCACCATTTTTTGGGTGGAGACCTTGGCATCAACAACATCCTATTGGTGTTGCTGTAGTGGAAGGTCTAGATACCAAGATGCATCCGAGAAACAAAGAGTTGCATGAGTAATGGAGGGACCTTGTGCGAATAACTCAGTGACCCCTCCATCTTTCTTTCGGGAGTATCATCAAGAGTTCACTCAGCACTAATTCATCCAGTGTTTACTTTCCAAGCTCATTTTTTTAACAAGAGGTCTCCTATTATTTTCTCTATGTTAGTTGATACAGGTTCAAGTTTATCTTCTATTTCTCGACTTGTTGCCACACGTTGCCATTTACACTTGCATCGTGCAGCGAAACCAGTTTTCATTCTTTATGGCAACGGCCGTACACATGCATGTGCACAGAATGAGGTTGACCTGGTTGTGTGTGTGGGCAATCTCGAGCTTGAGTTGCAGTCATTGTGGGTGGTGCCAAGTCAAACTTTTGACCTCATCCTTGGTATGAATTGGTTGCAGCACAATCATGCCAAGTGTGATTTTGAGGCTTCTCCCTTTTGTCTCATACTTCCTTATGTTTCATCCATTCCTCTCACTTCCATACCTCTTCGTCCCTTTACTTCTACCTCTACTTCAATTACTTTTGTCCCCCCACTATTTCCTCCTGTGTTTCCATCTTGTTTTGCTCTTCCCTTTTCTGATCCCTCGGACAATCTTTGTGTTGCAGCAGTTGACCGACTCATGAAGGAGTATTCTGATCTCTTTGAATTTGACTTATCGTTTGGGGCCAAGATTGCCACACGTCATCCGATTCCAACTGGGGATACACATCCAATCAAGATTTCTGTTTGTTGTTGGTCACCCAAAGAGATCAAGATTTTACATACAAACGTCAAGGAGATGTTGGAGAAGGGTGTTATTCGGAAGTCACGAAGTCCTTGGGCATGTGAACCTCATTTTGTGACAAAGCCTGATAGGAGTATTCATTTCTACATCGACTATCGTTTGTTAAATAAAGTGATGATCTCGGATGTGTACTCTTTTCCTCACACTGCTAATCTCTTGGATCATCTGGGGCAAAGTTGCTGGTTCACCAAACTAGATTTTGCTTCTGGGTACTAGCAAGTACTAATGGCTAAAGAAGATATTCCTAAGACTGATTTCATTGATAATATCTTGATCCACTCGGAAGGGATGTGGGAGGAGCACGTTCGTGATGTTTGTAAAGTGTTGGATCAACTACAGGATGTTGGTTTAGAATTAAAGCAGTCGAAGTGCGTGTTTGGGTCCAAAGACACAACTTATCTTGGACACCGTATTTCTCATGAGGGTTTGCAAGTTAATCCTGACAAACTTATGTCTGTTCTAAAGTTCCCTACTCTGAAGTGTGTGAATGTGCAACGCTTCTTGGGCAAAGTGCAATATCTTAGTCGTTTTGTGGATCATCTTTCTGATTGCACTGCATCGTTGCGAGCATTGCTGAAGTCGTCAATGTCATCTTTCATCTGGTCTCCAAATTGTGAGTGGATGTTTGTGGATCTCAAAGAGATATTAACGACTCCTCCGATTTTGGTGTATCCGGACTACACTCAACCTTTTATTTTGCACATGGATGCTTCTGGCATTGGTCTTGGAAGTGTGTTGAATGCAAGAGAGCCTGAGTGTGCTTGGTCAGTGCCATCCCATTGCATATATAAGCCGTAAATTACAACCAGCGGAGGTGAACTACTCCACGATAGAGAAGGAGTGTTTAGCAACAGTCTGGGGTTTCGAGAAGCTTCATGCATATCTACATAGTTCTCGGATGTTACTTGAAGGTGACCATGCTGCCATTATTTCATTATTGAAGTGGAAGAAGTTGGTTGGTTTTACTATTCGGTGGGCTTTGAAGCTTCAGATATATGATTTTGATGTTGTTCATCACCCAAGGAGTTTTATGGCTGATGCTAATGCCCTTTCTCAAGCTCCTCTTCCTTCTCCACTCTCTTCTCATGTTTCTAATAAGCCTATTATTCCCACATCTATGGATTTTCTAAACGATGATTTTGTGCCGTCGGCAGTTGTTGTATTTGACGTTTAGTGTCCACAAGATGCAGAGCAAGGTCTACCTTCTCTTGATGAGGTTCGCAAGGCTCAAAAGATTGAGCAATAGATTCAAAGGCTTCACGATGGGTTTGAAAATCTTGCATCACTTACTGATGACTTGCCTTTCCGGCATTTACATTCTCAATATCGCCTTGAAGACAGCCTTCTTTATTTTGTAGGGATGAATCCTAATAATCATTTATGGCTAGTGGTGCCTTCTATCTTTATTTCATGGTTTCTCTATGCTTACCATGATTCTCCTGCTCTATGTGGGCATATGGGATATCATCATGTAACCGAGAAGTTGCGCAAGACTTTTTATTGGCCAGAGATGCGACATGATATTATCTGGTATGTGCGTAGCTGCATTTGGTGCCAAGCTCGTAATACTCCCCCTCATGCTGCGGAAGGACGGTTGGAGTCAATTGCAGTTTCCTATCCGTTTGAGTTGGTGGCATTTAATCTTATGGGACCTTTTTCACAATCGACTATTGGAAATGAGTATGTTATTATTGCTTTTAACTACTTGACTCATTGGGTGGAAGTTGGTGCTCTTGCTAGCACCTCTGCAACTGCTATTGGATACTTCCTCCTCAATTGAGTGGTGTTCTAGCATTCTTGTCCAGAGCGGATTCTTTCGGATAATGGTCTTACATTTATGGGTGAGGCATTTCATGTTTTGATATCTCGGTTAGGGATACGCCACACTGAGTGTTTATCATTCACAATCAGACAGTCTAGTGGAACAGCTCATTTAGACATTCAAAGGGATGATTGTGAAGTATGTGAACTTTTAGAATTCAGATTGGGATGGTTATTTGCTGTCTCTTTGGTATGCATATGTCATAGGGGTGTAGAATTCTGTTGATACTTGACCATATAAACTCTTATATGGTCATGATCCAATATTACCGACGGAGCTGGGTTTACTTTTGCGATTGCCATGAGCTGCCAATGCTAGGTCGTGGGATCAATATTTGATGAGCATTCCTCCATTTGTTCAAGTAGAGTCTGCTGAACACTTAGGCCGTGTACAAGTGGGACAACAATAGCACTACAACTCCCATCATTGTCCACCTGCGGAGTACAAAGTGGATGACTTGGTATTAGTTCGTTTTCCCCATCTTACGGTATGTGGTTTATCTAAGGGGCTCCTTGCTCAGTGGAAAGGACCGTATCGAGTATTACGGCAAGTTGAACCACAAGTTTATAAAGTTTGGCATGACGTCCAGTAAACCGATCCTCTAAAGATTGCGCATGTGCAACAGTTGAAATGCTTCATACAAAGGGATTAGAAGCAGTTTATACCACCTACAGATCCGCCAATGCCTGCTTCTAACATTTCTCTGTGAGACACAAATCCCAAAGCCCCAAAGTGGAGCTGAAAGAGTGCCACGTGGTAGTGGCCAAAGTGAAAGCCAAACAAGTATAGCACATTTCGACTAAAAGCTCCAACTTGAAAAGTTGAGAGCAGGAATGGAATTCCCAATGAGGAGTCCGAGATGGAGTTCAAGATGGAGTTCAAGATGGACCCAAGATGGAGTCCGAGATGGAGTTCAAGATGGAGTCCAAGATAGACCTGAGATGGACCTGAGATGGAGTCCGAGATGGAGTCCAAGATGGACCTGAGATGGACCCGAGATGGAGTCCAAGATGGAGTTCGAGATGGACCCGAGATGGACCCAAGATGGATTCTGAGATAGACCCAAGATGGAGTCCAAGATGGAGTCCAAGATGGAATTGCGATCAAGATCGAGACTGAGACCGAGACCAAGACCGAGTCCGAGTCCGAAACCGAGACCGAGACTGAGTCCTATTCCGAGTCAAAGTCCGAGTCCGAATACTAATACAGGTTATTGGGTGAAAGCCAAAAGCGATCATCCCCTAGGGGGGGGCTGCAGGGGGTTCCAAAAGTATAGTAGGGAAAGTGTGGGGGTTGAACCCTAGTGGAGTCAACTTGGCCAGGAAAGGCTAGTTTGGCCTAGAAAAGCCATACCCCAGCTGTTGGGTGGTGAGGTAACCACTGGGAAGTCCAAGGCTAGAGTGAATATAGACCGACAAGCGGGGTAGCTTGGTGAAATGTTCAAGAACCGGCTTTAGTTCCCCCGGAGATCAAATGGTTGATGCTCCCAGTCCAAGCATGGGTGGCACTACTTACTTGGATACCTAGTGTGGCTCAACAGAACCTCGCCCTAAGCCCATGGTTAAAACACCCAAAGGCGGAAGCTAGGGAGAGTACTCATGAGGCTTGCGTAGGGCCACGATGGTCCAAAATGTTGTTCTAAAGTCCCGGACTGTGAAATGGAAGAGGAGTAGTCCTCTGGTGTGGCAACCAAGGATACGGTCACATAATGAGGAAATCCCAAAGGATAGTGGGATTTGGTGGTCAGGCCTATAGGCCTGGATCCAGTGGCAATGTTGGCGAACACAGCCATGGATAGAAAGGGATTTGGTGGGGACTAAAAAAGGGATATTGGGGAAGGTTATTCCCTATATCTGTAGGCATCCTAAGGATGTTAAGGAGTGGATCTAGGATAATCACTCATGGACGGATGGTCCAATATTTGAGAGACAAAATTGTGATGTAAGTGGTGTTAGACCATTGGTATGACCAAGGTGAATGAGCATGGCCTTAGCATAATAAGTTGATATGTCGGTGGTAACTTGGGGTGTTAATTATGGGATCGGACACGTGAAGTACTTGGACCAAGTCCAAAGGTTGAGTGGCATATATGCCATTCTCAAGGTTAATAAACCCCAAGTTTTGAATTGAATTTATGGAGGTTGTGAATGAAATTCTTCCAAGTGGTCGGAGGTGTGGTTAAATGACTAAAATAGAATGGAAAATTTAGTCGCTTACATTACAAGAGAACTCTGATGGTCTTCCATTATTCCGAAAGGAAGGAATGATGTAAGGGGCAAGTGTATGGCTACGATGCCGTATATTAATATTAGCGTAATGGGATTTTGGTAGCCGTTGGATTGGTTTCAATTTAAACCACTCGCTCGTGTATATAAGCTAGGGTTTTTGAGCTAATTGATATACACATTTTTTGTATTCCCTTTCCATATTCCAAGCACTCACAACTAGAAATTTTAAAAAGTACTTAAGAATTACTTATCATATTTTTTTTAAAAACATTTATATATTAAATAAATAATTAGAATAATGTTTACCCCTTACCACAGTTTTGTAATATTAGATAAAATTGTTAATATTTTATAATAGACATGTCACTTTTGACTAAAGATGATTGCTATTGGAGCAAAATTCTTGGGACCAATTACATTTTATTTTTGAGTTCTATTATTTTGAAAGTCTTTCCTTAGCAATTTAATATATTTTATTTTATATTAGTTTTATATATTTATGAAAATATAATTATTATAGGAATTATTTGATAAAAATATTATCTCTAAAATAAAATTCTATAATTTTTAATATCATATTTTATCACATCCTAAATTTTGATTTCAATTATCTAGCTGTTTTTTCACCACTTACTGTTGTAGGTTTTGCGACAGGCCATGGCTCACAATGGCAAGTGTGGAAAGTGCTTCATAGAGATGTTGTCTGGTGCTGCACCTTGGCGCGAATCGCATTGCGGTCCAAGTGAGGAACCGAAACCTTCAAAAAGAAAAAAGCTCGCCAGGGAAACCCCGTTCGAGCGAGCTTCTGCACGTGCACAGGCCTGGCCGGGGGGATGGCTCTGATTCAAGATGGCTCTGCTGGTGGCAGACCGAGCCTCTAGATTAAAGCTATCCAAGTTTGTAAACTTTGTAAACATTCACTATAATATATGGTTAGCTCTTTTTCTTTCTTTCTTACATATGATAGGGTTATTATTTGATCTTCTTCTTTGGTTCTAAAAGAACAGGAAAATCCATTTCTTGGATATATGTTCTACTCGACCGACAACAACCTTCCCAGCAGCGAGATCATATCCCCCGCAAATCATTGACAAGCTCTTCTAGGAAAGATCCACAAAGTGAAAGTAGGAGACATCGAGCCGATCGCGTCGTGGAAACCACGAAGAAGTGTTCCTCTCCGGCATGGAGTTAAAGATCTTGCAGCTTGATCGATCTCTACTCCGCAGTTGTAAACGCCAATAAAGACGCTCATGGCATGGATTGTGTTCAACCGGACCCTTCGACCTCTTCTATCTATCTTGGCTTAAAAACGCTCAACAACGCAGAATAATCGAAGATCCCCAGCGCGGCATTCGATCAAAGATGGTCAAAAGCTTTCTTGGCCAGCCATCGCCTGGAAGATCGAGTGGCTCTCTTCTACGAGCCCGAGCAATGAGCAGGAAGGAGCCGGAGGACGATCCCTCGAGCAGCATCGCGTGCAGCAGCGCCACGGAATCGACTCCATTGCGGAATTGCGCGTACGCGGCGATGATCGCGTTCCAGGCCGGGAGATTGCGGTGGTTCTTGGCTCTGTGGCGCTTGGCAAGATCATCGTCCGCGAAATGATTCGAGGACTGGAGGAGAGTTTGAGCTCCACTCCACATCTCTTCCGGGCATTTCATCAGAAGGTTTTCTTCCTGATGATTGCCCAGGCATCCGAGCCGGCATGAGCGGATCTGTCCAGCGGCGATCACTGATCACTGCGCAAAAAAAAATTTATTCATGGAACAAAACAAACGATTGAGAAACAAAGAGCCTCCAGCTCAAAGGGATTTAGTGGAGAGGAGCTCCACCTTCCCCCCCTTGTGATCAACGAAGAGCGTGTCACAGATTGGATTTGCGCCACGGATCTGCTCACGCACGACAATGACAGAGCTAGTGAGCTCCATGAGCTCCCACGCAGCGACGACCAGAGATGGAGTGCATGCGCCGAGAAGGGCTCTCAGCTCGCCCTCAGTGATCCGGTTGAAACCGCCGCAAACTCCTGAGCAGGCAAGAAAGATAGTGAGCGACGATCGGGCGCAGAGAAAGAGGAGAGATCTGCAAAACAGACAGAAAGATCCAGCCTCCAGAGATAATTTGCAAAACAAGAAGATTGAGCAAGACCGGCACGGCGCGGGAGAGAAAGATTGCCAGACTGAACAACAAAGAGAAAGGGCAGGACGCGAAGAGATGAAGACGAGGATGAGAAGAGACAAGAGACGAAGAGACGATCGCGCGCGAGCATGAGAGAGAGAGAGAGATGACCCTGAAGAGCATTGTCCGCCAGAGCTCCGGTAGAACCCGCTAGAGCTGTGCTACAACAAAGAGGTGTGAGGGCAAGGAGAGAGAGAGGAAACCTTTCTCCTCGATGTTCGCCATATCTCGTGTAAGACTCGGTATTAGACGGGGGAGAAAGCCTTCGCGCTCTAGCTAATATATATAGGCCTTCATGTAGCAGCTGGATCGGCCCGGTGGGAGAATCTGAGAATCTTCATAGTAATTACCTGTACGAGATTACCATTAAGCGTGATGGTTACTTGCGGTGCGTCTTGGGAGCGAGACAATCGTGAGTCGCTATCCCGCTCGATGGTTACTTGATACGGTGCCACATCATCCCTCACGCGTAAATTTTAATAAAAAAATGTATAGTCAAACTCAAGAAATTATCTAATTATGTTTTCTTGATTTCATCATTCTACCTTCTCATCTGCTACTACTTATTTGAAAAAGACCCGTAATATAATATTTTAAAAAGATTAGGCTGGACATTGAGATTACTTTGTCAAACTAGAGACTAGTGATTTACAAGATTAAAGACCATATAATGATCTTTAAACTATGTAGAGACAGTGCCAACTTCAGAGTTCATGTCACAAACACCAACACCTCTACATAGCCTAAAGTAGCCATTTTCACCAAATTCATCAGTCCAAGTATTCTTGAAGGTCCAATAACGCAAACCATTCTCTACGCCATAGCCAACAAGCAGCACACCATGGTTTATCTCCCCAGGGCAAATGCGCGGGCAAGCAACCCCACCCTCGTAAGTAAATAAAACATTTCCTCTTAACGCAACTGCAAAAACACCTGATTGTCAGCCTTTTTCTAGACCATAAAAGATACTTACTTGACAATGGCCCATTTTTCACCAGATTGGCAGCGATTTGGTCCTCATCCTCAGACACCCTTGAGTAGTTTGCAATGGTGGCAACCACCTTGCTTGGCTGGTAACGGCACGGACCACGGACGGGTTTGTGTCTGTAGCCAAGTTCTTCATAAGGGTAATCTTCCTCAGCCTCAAGACCCCTGGCTTTTACATACTCGTATGCACTTAGCATGTCGCCACCCTCGCAGCCGTTATCCTGCAGAACAAATATTATATAACATCAACTTCAAGGGACCGTCACGTACCTTGTAATCACAATCTATCAACTGCTCCTCACTTAGGCTAATGAGTTTTCCAGTCTTTAGAAAGTTGGCGCCTTCCACTACTCCGGTGGTGCTAAAAGTCCAACAAGATCCGCAGCGTCCCTACAAGTAAGTTTCAAGCTTGTTTAATGAAAACCTATGATCAAATCGACATGCGCTAAGAGAAAACCTGGAACTTGACAGGGGTCACTGCACCATGCTCCCTCCAATCAAACGCCTCCGGCAAGTTGTCTGTGGGAAGAAGAGGAGCCTGGTTTACAACCCTATTGGAGTACGCCTTACGGAATCCCAGGAATCGCGATAACTCTTCAGGGGTGAGGTCTGCGAAGCTTGTGATCCCATGTATGGCAGTGGGATCCTGCTTCTTGAGGCTCATGACATGCGCAAGATTTGCTTGAAACACCTTCAGCCGGTGGACATACTCCTCTGTAGTCCCGTAAACCTTACCAAACTTTTGCATAAAGTGTTTGAAGTGGCCCTCCACATCTTTTACTTCTAAATTGTCTGTCACCTGTCGAATTTTACCAATATCCAATCTGTTTGATGAAGAGCAGCAAACCACGAGAATGAGCAAGCCGACCAAGATGATCGCTAGAGCCTTTGCCATCTTTCCACTTATTAATTAGGGCCAGAAACCCTGCACAATATAATATAGAAGTTCCTTTCCTTTTTGTTACACGCAAAGTATATTCTCTTTCAGAAGTGATCGAGATTTTGAACGGCTTCTAAGAAAAGTGGATGCCACGTCACTTTTCTCTTGTCCAGGTACGTGTGTAGAATGATGTATCGGATCACAATCCAATTTTCTCTGAAACTTCAAACAAATGGTCCTCCGTCAAATTTTCACTTGATAAACTTGGAGTATGTTTCCATTTCTATTTCTTTTTTATCTTCTAACCTTTTTATGAAAGCAAGGAGAAAAGCCTGGTAGAACCGGTGAGTAATTTTTTGCATGATAAAGTTCCTGATACAATAGCAAGCTAGTCGATCTAAACGCTATATTCTAGTAGTGACTTCTCGTTCTCTTACTTTGCTGCAACAAGAGCTGTCGTGAGGAGATTAGTACACATTAAGAATCAATGCTTTGCAGATATTGCGTGGCCCTTTTTCGCCTTGGCAGCAACATCAGCTCTTGCGCCTTACGATCATTCCGACACGCTCAATTGCGTTGTTAAGCTTCCTCGTTTTTGCGTAAAGTTTAGTGTTTGTCTCCTCTTTTTTACCAGTGCCTTCTTTATTTGAGCTTGTTTCTTCCTATAATTTCTTTCGGTTTTCTTGGAGTTTCAGTTTTGTTCTTTGTTGTTATTCCTCTCTTGAGACTTGGGAGCTCGTCGTCCTCTTAGTGTGGCTGGTTTTTCTTGAAAATCCTTGTCCATTACATTGTGGACATTGTCCAGCTTCCTGTTTAGATGACAAAAATTTCAAAACGAGCCAAACATCTCCTGCTCGGTTTTCCAGTCTCCCCAGCTCGCGAATTAACAGGCGAGCAACTGTTTATCGGTTTTTTCTCGCTCGAGCCTGAGTAAAAAAGCTTACACGACCATCAAAGCTTGTTGAAATTTGCAATGTAACAACATGCTCACACACTAGACAAAAAGGCAGGGTAACACTTACCTGACAATTCATAAATCCCTTTACCATTTCACTAAATGAAAGAGTTAGTGAGCGAGATAGTCCAAGCGCTGAGAAAAAGAAAGAGATTCACTCACCGGTCTAAGCGTTCAAAGCAAGAAGACATCCCTTAGTATGAGATGGGAGTGAGCTTTTGGAGCGGCAGAGCTGGCAATCTGCTTAGCGTGCAGGAATCAATCTATACCGTGAGGTCGAAATACAGCCACCCACGAGAGTGCTCCACAAGACCAAGTTCTTTGGAGAGATGGGCTTCCTCCGCCTCGCCCATGCTCCCAAACCTTGCCAAGTAATCCATCAGCGAGTTGGTCATGCACACGCGGAAACCTTTTATTATAACAAGGCTGGTGATCCTTAAGGTCGTTCTTTGTTCTAACCGCACTATAATATTTGGAGACATATGACAGTTCCAAAGATCGTGGAGGACAACTTTGAGCTGGTTCTTCTAGTCTAGCCTCTTCACATGGCGATCTTCTACAACGAGAAGTACAAATAGTTATAGATATTGAATTACAAATGGATAGATACTTCAGCTAAATACTATATATACATGGCATAAAGGTGTTCTTTGCAGGTGGAAATGGAGTGCCTGGCCAGGAGTTGGGTCATGATTTGGAAACATAGTCGTATGCTTCTCAGTTGGACATGACTATAATATATATTAGAGGAGGCTGCTCAACACGGGCTCCATAGTTTAAATTGTTGGATTAAATACCTATTACCTCTTGAAACTATACAGAAACAGTAGAGACTCTGGTGTTCATGCCACAGACACCAAACCCCCGACACAGCCTAAAATATCCATCTTCACCATAGTTCTAGCTCCAAGATCCAATAGGGCTTATCACCATGTCTGCCATATCCAACAAGGAGCACAGCATGGTTCATGTTGTCCCGACCGGGGCAAATGCGAGGGCAAGAAACTCCACCCACGTAGTCTTTTATGTAATCTGCATTGAGAGCAACTGCAAAAACCACAAACCACAATGTCTCGTCAACTTTTGCCAAAGAACAACATGCTACTTACTCGAAAGAGGCCCATTTTTCACAAGATGTGCAGCAATCTGGTTCTCATCCTCAGACACAGTGGAGTAGTTTGCAATGATGGCAGGGCATCGGTGACCGGGAAACATATACTTCCTATAGCCTTCTTCATTGTAAGGATAATCTTCCTCAGCTTCAAGACCCGTGGCTTTAATATACTTGTACGCATTTAACATGTCACCGCCTTTGCAGCCACCATCCTGGTTCCAAGTGGATAATCATGGATCAGAATTGCCATTATAATTCAAATCAAGAAAGAAATTACCATGCGATCACAGTCAATCAGCTGCTCCTCGTTTAGGCTAATGAGCTCTCCAGTCTTTAGAAAGTGGGCACCTTCCACTGCTCCTGTGCTGCTAAAAGTCCAGCAAGAGCCGCAACTTCCCTGGAACTTTTAAAGGTGAGACCTTAAGATCATCCAGAAAACTAACTTACCTGGTTCTTCACGGGGGTCACTGCACCATGCTCCCAAACTCTCTGGCAAGTTATCTGTTGCAAGAAGTGGAACCTGATCTACAAGCCTATTGGAAGGTACCCTTGTACGGAAACCCAAAAAACCTGTGGTGTGAGGTCCGAGAAGCGCGTTATCCCATGTACCACGGTGGGATCTTGCTTGTGGTGCCTCAAAGCACGTACAAGGTTTTTCTCAAAGACCTGGAACTTATACTCTTCATCTGTCGAGTAAACTTTGTGAAGTGGCTCTCCACGTTCTCCAATGCTGTTGCGACATTCACTTCCGCATGGTCTATCACTTGTCGGATTCCAGGCTCAAAATTGTTGCAATGGATTTGGATAGCATATTGCCAAACACTTAGCACATAAACATATAACCGTGAAGAATATTCCTCTAAAAATATCTCCGCGAAATGCAAACTAATCCGTTTTAACAACGCCTAAAATATAAATAATCCATTTTAACGATGCTTAAAGAAAGATTAAAATGCAATAAAGAATAAGCGTGAAAGCTTGGAAGATCGAGTGGCTTTCTTCTACGAGCGGTGGACGATCTCGAGCAGCATCGCGTCGACTCCTGATCCAGGCAGTGATCGCCGTGGAATGACCGCAATCTCCCGGCCTGGAACGCGATCATCGCCGCGCAAACGCAAGTTCGCAACTTTCCGCAGGCAAAAAGAATGTTTATTCATCGATCAAACAGCAAAGAACATTAATTTCGAAAAGAATTCAGCTTAGAGGGATGTAGTGGAGACACGCTCCACCTTCCCCCCGTTGGGATCAACCACGAACTTGTCACAGACAGGATTCGCACCAGGGATCTTCTCGCGCACCACGATGACATGGTCGGTCATCTCGAATTGACCCCAGGCAGCGACGACCAGAGACGGAGTGCATGCGCCGAGAATGGCCTTCAGCTCGCCCTCGCGCATCCTGTTAAATCCGCCACAAATTCCTAAGCAGCAAGAAAGATTGTAAGAACGAAGATCATGCGCGAGAGAGAGAGAGAGAGAAGAGAGATCTGCAAACAGAAAGAAAGATACATGCTCCAGAGAAGATCTGCAAAACAAACGGATTGAGCAAGACCGGGGTGGCGCGCGATCTGCAAAACAAGCAGGACGAGAGACTATCACCGCGCGCGCGCGAGAGAGAGAGATAGAGAGAGATCTGCAAACAGAAAGATACATAAAACAAACGGATTGAGCAAGACCGGGTCGGCGCGCGATCTGCAAAACAAGCAGGACGAGAGACTATCACCGCGCGCGCGCGCGAGAGAGAGAGAGAGAGAGAGGGAGAGAGAGAGAGGGAGAGAGAGAGAGGGAGAGAGCCAGAAACGAGTAAGACCCTGGAGCTGCGGATCACTCACGCCTCCCACTGCCACCAGAGCTTCTCCCGCAAGAGCTGCAAGACAGAAAGTGTGAGATTGAGAGAGCGGAGAAAGAGAGAGAGGGAGAGAGAGAGTAGCAAACCGTGGAGCTGAGGATCGCTCACGCCTCCCACTCCCGCCAGAGCTTCTCCCGTCAGAGCTGCAAGAAGAAAGTGTGAGATTGAGAGAGCCGAGAGAGAGAGAGAGAGAGAGAGAGCGAGAGAGAGGAGAAACCTTTCTCTTGCATGCTTGCCGCCATAGCCTAGCCGTAACTGCGTCGGAGGAGAAAGGGCAGTGGTAGCTCGGGCTGGGCTTAGGCCGTGTTTATATACACCATTACAGCTGAATCCGGACAAACCAGTAGCTTTCGCTCCATCATAATTACTCGTAGAGCGTAGAGAGCGTACTCCATCCAACGTCAACATTGGTAATGTGAGAAACGGCCACACCATATGGTTAGCCTAAAGTACCCATCTTTACCAAATTCATCAGTCCAAGAATTCTTCATGGTCCATTCTCTATGCACAGGGCAAATGCGCGGGCAAGCAAACACTTGATTATTGTGACAATGGCCCGTTCTTCACCAGATTTGCATCTCAGACACCCTTCAGTAGTTTGCAATGGTGGCAGCCACCTTGCTGGGCTGGTAAACAGTGTCTGTAGCCAAGTTCTTCACAGAGTTGCTGCAGCGAGGACGTATTATCCACTGAGATAATCTTCCTCAGCTTCCAGACCCCTGGCTTTGACGTGTACTTAGCATGTCGCCACTCTCGCAGCCGTTATCCTGGAGAATAAAGATCATATGATATCACTGTAATCACAATTTATCAGCTGGTGGCGAATGAGAAAGTTGGCGCCTGCAAGACCAGCAGAAGTTTCAGACTTGTTTAATAAAACCCCATGATCAAATCAACATGAGCTTATTGGAGTACGCCTTATGGAATTCCATCGCGGTAACACTTCAGGGGTGAGGTCTGAGAAGCTTGCATATACTCCTCTGTAGTCCCGTAAACCTTTAAGTAATTGTCTGTCACCTGTAGAACTCCTCCAAGATCCAATTTATTTTCTGAAGAGCAACATAATATCCCTTTTTGTTATTACTCGTATATTCTCTTTCAGAAGTGGCTCGTACAACTTTTTCTGTGCTAGACAAGAATAGCCACATCACTATCTGAATCAGATGCAATCACCACCCAGATCGTCCAGTACAAAGGCTCTATCATTGTACCACCGTCTTGGCCAAAAGCTCCTCCAAAAAACTTCGACCCGCTTACTCTAGAATCCAGAATCTGGCTTTTGATTGAATAAATGAGAAACCTTGAAGTATGATCTGAAATTTAAAACCTACATACTATAAAACATAGGAAGCACTTACTATATACATGTTTCTTCACAGTCTTCTAGCTTTGAGAGTTGCTCTCAGTGGTTGTTTCATCACCACAGTAAACTCTTGTATGGGAGTTAGATCCACTGCTGTCTCGCCGGGCACTGTGTTCCACTCGAACTCTTGCACGAGACGAGCAAGGACGAGATGGACGTGGAGAGTCGCTAGGCCGAGCCCGGGACAGATCCTCCGCCCGGCTCCAAACGGGATCAAGTTTAGCGCCCCGGACGAGGCCGTGAAGTCGGCACTGGCACCCGGCCCCTCGAGAAACCTCTCGGGCTTGTACTCGTCAGGATTCGTCCACAGCTCCGGATCGTTGTTGATGGCGTAGATGTTGAAGAGCAGCGTTGCATGGACCGGGATATCGTAGCCTCCGAGCTTGCAAGGCTCGGTCACTGCGTGAGGAAGAGTGGTGTAGCCCGGTGGATGCTTGCGTAGAGTTTCCTTGACGACGGCCTTGAGGTAGACGAGCTTGTCGATGTCTTTCTCGGTCACTGGCTTATCTCCAACGCTGGAATGGATCTCCTCCAGGAGCTTCTTCTGGACGGCCGGGTGCTTGATCACGTTGGCGAGCGACCACTCGAGAGTGTTGGCGGTGGTGTCGGCTCCGGCGTTGAGAAACTCGGAGCACAGCACGATCAAGTCCTCGTCCGTGAGCTTGAGCTGATGATCCTCTTGCCGCTGGAGCGAGAACAGCGAGCTCAGGTAGGAGTTTTGATCGAGCTTGTCCTCGGCTGCCAGGAGCTTGGCCCTTTGGATCAGAGGCAGCAGGAGCTCCCTCCTCTCTCCGACGAGTTCCTCCAGCTTCAAATCCCTCGGCGATCGCTGGACAATCTTGAGAAGCGGGACAAAGTCGCTCATCCTCCCACCGCGTCCAGCACTGGTGATCAAGTGCCGCAGCATTCGTTCCACACCATTCACGGCATCCTTGTCCAGCCACTGCCCAAAGCACATGTAGGAAAGAAGCGAGAAGACGGTGAACCTGAGCGTTGCAAGAACCGGTACCGCGCTGCTGTCCGCGCGGCACTCCTTATCTACCGCGCGGTACACCGGACTATCCGCGCTGTACTCCTTGTCTACCGTGCGGTACGATGGGCCGTCCGGGCTGTCCGCCCGTTGTGACGTCTGGCGAAGCTTCTCCACGAGCTCACTGATAACGCGCTGCCTGGCGGGCTCAAAGGCGTGGACGCGGTGTGGGCTCAAGACGTGGCTTACCATGTTGCGCCGCACGGTACGCCAGTGATGACCATAGGGCGCCGCGTTGATACTGCGGCGGTAGTTGCTCAGCCGGACCTGCCGCTCGGACAAGGATGGCCGCGACGAGAAAATGGAGCCCTTCTCGATCAGGGCCTCGTGCGCGAGCTGCGAGCTCGAGATTACCACCAGGGGCACCGATCCAACGCGAAGTGTCATGATCGCGCCGTGCTGCCGGGCCAGATTTTGGAGATTCATGGGGCTCCCCAGCACCGATCGCATCTGGAGGAGATTGCCGAGGAGTGGGAAGCCCCTTGGCCCCGGAGGGAGATGGGTTCGCCGCCTGGAGAGGAGAAGAAGCGAGGCGGCCAGGATCGCCACCGCCACAGCCAGGAATGCCACCATAGACGCCATGGTGACAAGATGCCCTAGCTAAGAACCCTAAAAACAGAGACCAAGAGGGTTTAGGGTTTTAGCGATGGTCGCTACGCGCTTGCTGCTTCTGGCCAGGAATTCCTTCGCGGCTAGACGATCGCTCTGTTGTCACAGGAGTGCCGCATTCTTGGAGCACGAGATTTGGGAGATTTGTAGCCGGCGAAGCTCGGGATTTCCATCGCTGCTGCCTTCCAGGTATTTTGGTAGCAATGCCGGTGCTGGCAGCGGTAAGGAAGTGGCGAAGGAGGAGAAATCCGTGATCCCGGCCGCAGGTAATTCTCGTGCTTCGAGAAAAGGGGAAGATCACTCGAAAGCAAATGAGAATATGGAGGACAAGCCAAAGCGAACGAAGAAAGTGGAAGAACCAAAGTTGCCGGCTTCGAGAAAAGGAGATGTCGAGGAGGTGGCCGATGGAGCGAAGGCTAAACCCAAGAAAACAAAGGTGGTGGAGACCGAGGCAAAGCTTTTAGCTCCCAGAAAAGATCTTGGGAGTAACGAAGCGATCGAAGCCAAACCAAAGCCAAAGCGATCGAGGAAAGTGAAGGGCGAGGAAGAAAAAGACTCCAGTGTTTCTGGAAATGGCAAAGAGGTGACTAAAGCGAAGTCGAAAGGGACGAAGAAAGTGCCAGTAGAGGAAGGAATGGAGTCCGAGCTATCAGCTCCAGGCCAGAGGAAAACATCTAAGCCAAGGACACAGTCTGCAAAGAAGGTGGAGGAAACTGTGAAAGATGTCGGGACAGTTGGTTTAGTAGCAGAGAATAGTATGGAGCTGGAAAAGAAAGTTGAGAAGAGACCACCAAAGCCAGGGAGGCAAGCTGCAAAGAAGATGGAGCTACTGGATGAAGCTGCGAGGATTGCCGGGACAGATGGTTTAGTAGCAGAGAATCCATAGAGCTAGAAATGAAGGAACGGGATTGGGTCGTGGTGGTAGAATCATCGCCGCAAAGTTTGGACGTTAGTTTGGATACTAGTGGGACTAAAACTCCAGAGTTCGTGGAAAACAATCTAGATTCGGAAATAAGCGTACCACTTGTGGAAGAGTCCGGGGCGTCGCAGCAAGCTTTGGACGATGCAGCGAAGCCACAGACAACAGAGACTGTGAAGGTTGCTGAGACAGACAACGTGGTTGTAGAAAAAGATTCAAAGGTGGCAGAACCATCGCCAGATCAAGCGAAGACGCAGCATGAAAATGTGGTCACAGCGGGAGCAAAACAGGATGGCTTTCTTGAGGTGGATGACGAGCTCAAGGAGTTTCTCATGGACAGAAAGCTACAGCAGGAGCAAGGTGCCGACAACTGTCGCAAGCATCAAGTGCCTCGGGTACAAGATTTGATTCCCGGAGACAGTAGCGAAGGTTAGAGCTGTGGCAGTAGATTTTCAACAAATCACCAAGATCTGTCTCCCTAATGTGGCTGAGGTGATCGATTGTACACATTTCGAGATTATCCTTATCTGACCAGTTGGCCCAGATGGTGAGGGCTACTTTGATCAAAAGCAATGGTACTCAGTGATCATGCAGGGGGTTTATGATGCTCAGAAAAGGTTCTTGAGTATTTATGCAGTTTAGCCAGGTAATTACTTTTAATTTTTTTCTTCTATACATTTAATTGGTTTATTTTTGTCCTTATGTTCATAACATAAGGGTTTTTCAGAACTCCAAGCTATGCCACAAGATCCAAGCAAGGGAATTACTCACAATTCCTCAAAAGTTTGTTTTTAACGAGTGGATTGAGCCATACCTGGTGGGAGACAAAGGCTATTAGCTGCAGCAGCACTTAATGATCCCTCACTTAGGTAAGTTGATTGTTTTTTTTTTTTTCAATTATTCATTTGAAACAGATTCCCAGTTGATGGTCAGTACAACCAGCAACACCATCTAGCCCAAATTGTTATTGAACAAGCATTTGGACTCCTAAAAATGAAATTCATATGCTTAATAGCAATCATTTTTAGTCAAAAGTGCATTTCGCGGAGATATTTTTAGAGGAATATTCTTCACGGTTATATCCCAAACTAGTAAAAAGTAGAATATGGAAGATCGAGTGGCTCTCTTCTACGAGCGGAGGACGATCTCGAGCAGCATCGCGTCAACTCCATTGCGGAATTGCGTTTGCGCGGCGATGATCGCGTTCCAGGCCGCGGTCATTCCACGGCCTGGATCACGCTGCTGCTTTCCAAAGGCAAAAAGAATGTTTATTCATCGATCAAACAGCAAAGAACATTCATTTCGGAAAGAATTCAGCTTAGAGGGATGTAGTGGAGACACGCTCCACCTTCCCCCCGTTGGGATCAACCACGAACTTGTCACAGACACGATGACATGGCCGGTCATCTCGAATTGACCCCAGGCAGCGACGACCAGAGACGGAGTGCATGCGCCGAGAATGGCCTTCAGCTCGCCCTCGCGCATCCTGTTAAATCCGCCACAAATTCCTAAGCAGCAAGAAAGATTGTAAGAACGAAGATCATGCGCGCGAGAGAGAGAGAGAGAGAGAAGAGAGATCTGCAAACAGAAAGAAAGATACATGCTCCAGAGAAGATATGCAAAACAAACGAATTGAGCAAGACCGGGGCGGCGCGCGATCTGCAAAACAAGCAGGACGAGAGACGCGCGCGCGCGACAGAGAGAGAGAGATCTGCAAACAGAAAGAAAGATACATGCTCCAGAGAAGATCTGCAAAACAAACGGATTGAGCAAGACCGGGGCGGCGCGCAATCTGCAAAACAAGCAGGACGAGAGACTATCACCGCGCGCGCGCGAGAGAGAGAGAGAGAGAGAGAGAGCAAGACCCTGGAGCTGCAGATCACTCACGCCTCCCACTGCCACCAGAGCTTCTCCCGCAAGAGCTGCAAGACAGAAAGTGTGAGATTGAGAAAGCCGAGAAAGAGAGAGAGGGAGAGAGAGTAGCAAACCGTGGAGCTGAGGATCGCTCACGCCTCCCACTCCCGCCAGAGCTTCTCCCGTCAGAGCTGCAAGAAGAAAGTGTGAGATTGAGAGAGCCGAGAGAGAGAGAGAGAGAGAGAGAGAGAGGAGAAACCTTTCTCTTGCATGCTTGCCGCCATAGCCTAGCCGTAACTGCGTCGGAGGAGAAAGGGCAGTGGTAGCTCGGGCTGGGCTTAGGCCGCGTTTATATACACCATTACAGCTGAATCTCCATCATAATTACTCGTAGAGCGTAGAGAGCGTACTCCATCCATCTGAGAAGATTCTCACTAAAGTCGTATAATATATTTTGTAAACCGCTTGAGATTATGTCAACGTCAACATTGGTAATGTGAGAAACGGACACCACATCTTTACCAAATGATATGATATCATATGATATCATTGTAATCACAATATATCAGCTGGTGGCTAATGAGAAAGTTGGCGCCTTCCACTACAGCAAGATCAGCAGAAGTTTCAGTGATCAAATCAACAACGGAATCCCACCGCGATAACACTTCAGGGGTGAGGTCTGAGAAGCTTGCATATACTCCTCTGTAGTCCCGTAAACCTTTAAGTGTTTGAAGTGGCCCTCCACATCTTGCACTTCTAAATTGTGTGTCACCTGTAGAACTCCTCCAAGATCCAATTTATTTTCTGAAGAGAAACAAATCACGAATATAATATCCCTTTTTGTTATTACTCGTATATTCTCTTTCAGAAGTGGCTCGTACAACTTTTTTCTGTGAATCAGATGCAATCACCACCTAGATCGTCCAGTACAAAGGCTCTATCATTGTATCACCGTCTTGGCCAAAAGCTCCTAACCTATCCACACGGCTTGGAAGCTTGCAAAGGCCTGCTTGATGTCCGGCAGAGGTGATTTTTAGCTTTTGATTTAATGTAATATGAAAATGAGAAACCTTGGAAGTATGATACATACTATATGTTCTACTATATACATGTTTCTTCACAGTCTTCTAGCTTTGAGAGTTGCTCTCAGTGGTTGTTTCATCACCACAGTAAACTCTTGTATGGGAGTTAGATCCACTGCTGTCTCGCCGGGCACTGTGTTCCACTCGAACTCTTGCACGAGACGAGCAAGGACGAGATGGACGTGGAGAGTCGCTAGGCCGAGCCCGGGACAGATCCTCCGCCCGGCTCCAAACGGGATCAAGTTTAGCGCCCCGGACGAGGCCGTGAAGTCGGCACTGGCACCCGGCCCCTCAAGAAACCTCTCGGGCTTGTACTCGTCAGGATTCGTCCACAGCTCCGGATCGTTGTTGATGGCGTAGATGTTGAAGAGCAGCGTTGCATGGACCGGGATATCGTAGCCTCCGAGCTTGCAAGGCTCGGTCACTGCGTGAGGAAGAGTGGTGTAGCCCGGTGGATGCTTGCGTAGAGTTTCCTTGACGACGGCCTTGAGGTAGACCAGCTTGTCGATGTCTTTCTCGGTCACTGGCTTATCTCCAACGCTGGAATGGATCTCCTCCAGGAGCTTCTTCTGGACGGCCGGGTGCTTGATCACGTTGGCGAGCGACCACTCGAGAGTGTTGGCGGTGGTGTCGGCTCCGGCGTTGAGAAACTCGGAGCACAGCACGATCAAGTCCTCGTCCGTGAGCTTGAGCTGATGATCCTCTTGCCGCTGGAGCGAGAACAGCGAGCTCAGGTAGGAGTTTTGATCGAGCTTGTCCTCGGCTGCCAGGAGCTTGGCCCTCTGGATCAGAGGCAGCAGGAGCTCCCTCCTCTCTCCGACGAGTTCCTCCAGCTTCAAATCCCTCGGCGATCGCTGGACAATCTTGAGAAGCGGGACAAAGTCGCTCATCCTCCCACCGCGTCCAGCACTGGTGACCAAGTGCCGCAGCATTCGTTCCACACCATTCACGGCATCCTTGTCCAGCCACTGCCCAAAGCACATGTAGGAAAGAAGCGAGAAGACGGTGAACCTGAGCGTTGCAAGAACCGGTACCGCGCTGCTGTCCGCGCGGCACTCCTTATCTACCGCGCGGTACACCGGACTATCCGCGCTGTACTCCTTGTCTACCGTGCGGTACGACGGGCCGTCCG